AAATCAGCATGGACAGTTTGAGAAAAGATATTATAAACCAATCTCTATAGACAATCTAAGTGAACATAGACGTAAAAATTCTAAATAAATTGGCAAAGCAACTAAGCACTGTGTGAAAGACAATAAAGCCCAACCAAGGAACTTCCATACCCTGTTAGTAGACGGTGACTTGACATCACCACTCTGGAAAGGAATCGGAAACTAGCTAGAGGAGTTCTAGTGCTTATATGCCGTGTTGCAATTCCACTTCTAAGCATGCACCCTGGGGATAGTCTTGCATGTGTATAGGGAGGTTTGTACAAGAGTGTTTATTATACCATTGTCCTTAATAGCAAAAAAAATGGAACCTGAATGTTTATCAACAGGAAAATAAAATGTGGCATATTTATACTATAGGACAGTTAAAATGAATAGAGTTATATCTATCAACATAGATAAAACCACAAAGCATGTCTAGTTTAAAAAGAGGATAAATGTACATGATAAAATGTAAAAGCATCCATAAACATGGCTACATAAATGTGTTTGCATAAAATATGCATACAAATAATGAATACTGAATTTATGTCCAAGATTAAGGAGAAAGCATTTACAAGGGATACATGGGTACTTTGTTTCTATAAGACTAATATTTTAATAAAATTCTGGGGCAAATATTACATCAAGTTAAAATTAATAAAGCTGGATGTTGGGTATATGAGGTTCCTTGTCTGTATGCTTGAAACATTTCACAACAACTTACATTTTTAAAAAACTAGTCCAAGATATTTCCCAAGAGGAACTCTGCCCTCCATGATCCTCTTAACCATTAGATATTCTTTTAACCTTTCAAAATGCTCTTCAAAATATAATCAGGCCTTGATTGGATAGTAAATAGGTGATGACACTAAAAAAGACTCTATATCCTCTGATTGGTTGCTAAGCCCATTTTCCCAAAGCACTGAGTCCATCTGCTTTGAAAGAGAGAAGCTATTCCTTTCACTCACCATTCAGCATGATTAATCCACCTAAAGCATCTCTAGATTAGGTCTCCCCATAGTTTCCAGTGATTTCTGGTGCTCTTGGGAAAGGAGTCAACTACTAGAATTGTTATTAAAAAATGTATTTCCTTTTTGAAAATGTCTGAAGCTTCGGGAGAGTCTGTTCCTTCCCTTGGTGGAAACCTAACATGAATTTTAATGGCTGTGTCAGTTTTCACAGTCCCCGCAAAAGCAATTTTTAAAAACTTAGTTAATTGCTTTCTTCTGGAACAAGGGCTGGATTATTCAGATCACCTCTCTCACTGAAAACAACTAAAAAGTTTTTTTAAAAACCCGCCTTAAAAGCATAAACAAGTTGACAGGATAGTAGTAAAACAAAAACCTATGGAAAAAGGAGATTCTAGAGAAGTAAACTAAGCCAAAGCCTCCGTTTCCTTGAGGTTGTTTGCAACCTTGCACAAAACGAACTTTGTTTTTGGCAGACTTGACTGAGCATAAAGTTTAGAAATCAAAACTCAGGCACCCAAGGCGGGAATCTATTAAGAGACCACAATAAATTAGGATCCCCAAAGGCTTGAGCTTCAGGGTAAAGGGAAGCACAAAAATGGACCTGCCTGTACAGCCTCCCTAGCAAGGGCTGCAGATAGATCATTCCCTCTGTGCTGAACAGGGCAGGGACAATGAGTATGAAGGACAACACAGGTTGGCCTCATACAGATTTGCAGCCCAGGCTCATATCAGCTGTGTGAGCCAAACTCAAGACAAAGGTATCTCATCCTAAATCTCAAATTGTCCCCACAAACTTTTCAAAGGCAATGAGCATCACATACTCAAAAATAAACAAGCTTTCAAGGAAACAAGAACTCATTAGTGGGGACCGAAATAAACAAACATCAGAAACAAATATTTCAAGCGTAGATATTATCAAATATAAATTATAGGAAAACTATATTTACTATGTTCAAAGAAATAAAGAATAAGCTTTAAACTATCTAGAGTGGTGAACTATATAAAGCAACCTGGAAGACTGGAAAAGAGACCAAAAAAAACACATTTAGAAATAAAAAATACAACAACTATAGTTTGTGTCTATGGCTGGTCTAACTGCAAATTAGGCACAGCTGAAGAGAATTAGTGAATTGGTCAAATTATTCAAAATGTAAAACAAGAAAAATAATGAAAATTATAGAAGAGGCATTAAATATATAGAAAATAGAGTGGTATCTTAAAAGAGCTAACATATATATGATCAGACTCAGAAGGAAATGAGACAGGGAATATTTTAAAAGATAGTGACTTGAGAATTTTGCAGAAGTGATGAAATATATCAATCCACAGTTTCAAAAAAGTCAGTAAAACCTAAGCAAGATAAAAAGAAATCCATATTTATCATAAGGAAACTATAGAACACTAAAGACAAAATAAACCTCATAAAAGCAGCCAGGTTTTGAGAAAGAACAACAGGTAAAGAACTGCTAACTTCTCAATAGCAACAACAGAAGCCAGAAGACAGTGAAATGGTACTTTAAATGGGCTGAAAGAAAATAACTGCCAAACAAGAATTCTATATCCATCAAAAATATCTTTCAAGAATGAGAATGAAATAAAGTATCAGAGAATAAATCACCAGCAGACTCCCACGAAAGGCAATTATAAAGGATATGCTTAAAGCAAAAGGGAAGAAGACATCTCAGGTGGAAGGTCCCAGACGCAAGAAGGAATTAAGACATAGAGAGTGGTAAATTTTAGTAGATGTTAGTAAATTTTAATGAATATTGACCATATTAAACTATAATAATGACTTGTGTGGTTTAAAAAACTGAGGGAATTAAATATACAGTAACAATATGTCAGGAGGGAAGTAAACAGAGTCAAGTGCTCAAAAGCCCTTGTACAATTCAGGAGGCGAAAGTAGTTAGAAACAGACTGTGGTAAGTTAAGAACGCTTATTATCATTTAGTGAGTCATCGGTAAAGGCTAGAAATGGTATGTGTAACTTTCAAACTAGTAAAGGGGGAAATAAAATACAAAATAGTCAAGTTTAAAAGAGGACAAGAATGGGGAAAGAAAACAGCACGAACAGGCAGGACAAAACGAGACTAGACAACAGGACACTGAACATGTGAAAAAAATGGATTTACGCAAACGTAATACTGAGGAGGAAAAAAATCACAAAATATGATTCTATTTACTAACATTTTAAAAAGTCTATACAGAGAAACAGAAAGGTGGCAAAACCTATCAAAAGGTATCTTGGAAGTTATCCTCAAAGTCAAGGGTGAGACAGAAGATTTAAGGGTTCTTGGGGGTATGTGTGTTCAATTGCTAAGTGGTAGCAACAATATGGGGGTTTGCTTTATAATGATCCATTAAACTGTACATTTTTTTTGTAATTTTTTGTCTATTACATTTCCAAAAAAAAAAAAAAAAAGCTTAAAACAAAGTTACCCAAGTAGCGTGACCTTCAACAGCGTTTCCTTCTTTCCTTCCAGACCATCATCCACGGGCTGGTTCTCGCAGGCAGCTTCCTGATGTACTTTGTGGTAACCCTAGTGTACAACGCCACCTGTGTCACCTGCAACAGTCCCGCCAACCCCTACTGGGTGATGGAAGGCCAGCTTTCAGACCCCACTTTCTACCTCGTCTGCTTGCTCACACCAGTCGCGGCTCTTCTCCCAAGGTTTGTGCACAGGGCTGTTTTCTTCCCAGAACTACCAACCTCCCCTTACTAAGCCATTTTCTTAACCCAAGAGGCAGAAGTCTGACTCCTGACTGAGATCCTTGAGGTGGTTGTATCGAAGATAGGGTGCTAGTCCCAAGTCAGCCACAGAGTAGCCAAGTCACCAAATTTGGTCTGGCCTCGTCATGACATCTATAAAATGAGAGTGATAATTCTATGGTCCTTAATTAGCCCAAGTCTCACACGCATGTGCCCACAGGGACAGGCAAACAACCTCAGCAAACCAGGTAAAGTACGTACATGGGAAGAAAAGACTTTTTCAGCCTCACGCGATCACTGCCTCCAGGAGAGATCAAGTTCAGCATTCCAGAGCTTCAGACTCTTCCCAGAAATGCAAATTTTGCATGAAATAGCCACCTTCTTAATATTTCTCAAATTTGTTAACACACTAGCCAAACAAATCATTCACACTCAGACTATTTCTAACATTTTCAGCCTAAACCCTCTGCATTTGCCTTCTCTAGAAAAATAGCAGCACGTTGTGTTTCCTTGGAGCTCGCTCCTGACACACACTCTCCTATGTAGCCCCTCATTTTGTTTTTGCCATCACCTAGAAGTCAGGCAGAGCTGTGGTTCTAGTCCCACTTGCTCATGTGACAACTCAAGTCCCAAGAGGGACCAGAATCTGTCTCCACAAGCCCATCACAAATCCCCGTAGGAGATGCTTGGCCAACTCAGTGGCCAGTGTTCTATTCTCCATGCATACTACCTAGTCAGAGTAATTGGTGAACCTGACAATGATGTACCCTCCCACAGACAAGACTTGGCCTCACTACATCCTCACGATCTCAATACTGTGAATACCAAAATGCAACCACTTTATCATTATAAGCTGTATTAAAAACAGGCCATTGCAACTTTTTTAATCCAAAATCAGCAGACAGCGCTTCCCTGAATAAATTTGGCAAGTTGCTGAACCTGGGTTAGTCTCCATGTCCTCTTCCTAAGCCACCTCAGAACCCTGACCTCCGCTGCAGGGTTAGAGGCTGAAGATAACAAGATGCCAAACACACATGTTGGCTGAGTTCTAAACGTGCACTGTGTGCGTGGGCTCCCTGCTTGGCTGCCACCGGTCTCGACAGCCTCATCGCCCCACTCCCTGCCTCGAACTTCGGGCTTCTCACCACCGAGCTTCCTGTGCCTCCCGAAAGGCCCATGCCCTTTCTCCCGTAGCTTGTGCTGTTACTTCTAATAAGAACATCCTTCCCGTTACCAGACCTCCTGACCCTTTGACATTATTTCAGGCATGACCTATTCCAAACCTTCCATGCCTTCACCTACCTTCTGAGGCTGAAACAGGTCCCCCCTCTCCCGTGTGCTCCATCACCTGGGTGTATCTCTCTGTCACTGCCTTGATCCCATTTGTTATAAATTATCTGTTTGCCTTTGACCATTAACTCCTAGACAGAAGGTATCCTCCTTCTCATTCTATAACCAACACTTAGTTCTAGGGACAGTGGCGGCACTCAGAGATAAAAGAGCAATGGATGTTAAAGGAACAGAAAGAGGAATAAAACAGGACCCTTGCTCTCAAGAAGCCTGCAATCCAGTGAACAATTCAGACGTGTCTGACTATAATACAACAGTTTTCACAGAGGGCCCTGAGAGCGAAGAGTGGGAAGTCATTAGGAACAAGCACAAGCCACTACACCCCTTCAGCCCAACCCACTACACCCCTTCAGCCCAACCCCGGAGAGATGGACCCTGGGAGAGACCGTGAGGAGTGCACCCTCATGGAGAGGGGCATCAGATATGTGGCTTAAATGCTTTGTCCACACTTTGGAGGCTAAAAATGATGGTGATCACGACTGACCAAGGGCTGAGCTCCTCAGTTCTGTTTTGTGTATTGTTTGGGGTATGGAAATAAATTACCATATTCTTCGTCTTACCCTTGGCTAGAAAGCACAATTGGAACCAAAGCTACCAGCTTGATGAAGACCCTTGAAAGTATAAAAAGACTGTTGATATGTGCTTTGAAAAGACAGGCATTCAACATTACAGCTTGTTAAACAGAGACAAGTCAGGGAAGAGTAAGCAAATATTTACTTGTTAGTTACCATAGCACTTAAGTTAAATCTTTGCTTATTCTATATTATCATTTTAAAGTTGGATTTCTGTTTAATTCTGTTTACTAAGAAAAGCAAAGAGATTTCTTCTGAGAAAGGATTATTTTGATAGTTCCTAAGACTACTGACTTGTAACCTTGAAGAAATTAATGTTTGTTATAGAAACCTACATGATAGAATGTTTGCTATAGAAAAGTGTTTGTTCACTTGAAGTTGCAAGCTACCTTTATCATAATGGAGCTGGATTTTACTCACCAAACTTGTGATAATTAGCCCACTAACCATGACTTCTCTGATCTTGGTCTAATTAATTAAACCAATGTAAAAGAACTGTACAGATTCTCTTAAACTAGGAACATGTAAATTGTTTTACAGGTATAAAAAAAAAAGAAAAAAAAGAAACTAACACACTAACTTGAAAACACAATGAGCATCTTAACAGCTACAATAGATGACACCAGTCCTTGGACAGTCAGCCTCCCTGTGACCTCAGTAACCCAACACTCTCTTGGTTTTTCTCCTCCTTAGTTTTCTTTGCTGGTTCATGTCCTTGACACAGTGTATGTCGAGCCTTGAGTCTTAGGTTCTTTTGCCTTCTAACTTTATAGTCTCTCCATAGACATAGCCACCACTATTGTGAAGTATTTTTAACAGATGAATCTCTAGCACAAATTTCCCAGCCCAGACCTCTCTTCTGAACTTAAGATACACCTTTCTCGCTATCTATTAATCACCTCCAATGGGCATGTAAGTCCAAAGAAACTGGGAGACATTTATAATTTAATTCATGATCCACCCTTTATTCACCACCACCACCACCATCCAAGAACCTTGGGTCTCTTGCAGAGGTTTTTCCACTTGAGACCAAGGCAGACCCCTGGGAGTGATCCTGGATACTGCCCACCGCCTCATGCCCACATCTAGCCTATCCCCAAGTCCTGACAATTCTATCTGCTACATATTTCTCAAATCCATCTGCAATTTCCCATTTCTACAGCCACCACCACGGACAAGTTATCATCCTTTCATTCCAAATTACTTCGATAGTCTATTTGGTTTTACCGTAATCCATTACCACTGTATCAAAGTATAATCCTGTCATCTGTTTATAAATCTTTAACGGATTCCCAAGGCACAAAACCAAAGCGTGGTTCAGGCCTTTCGTGCTCTGGCCCTGCCCACCCCTTCTGCGTCGTGTTTCCCCACACTCCTGTCCTCACTCTCCACCATTTCAGCCATCGTTCTGGGGGTTTGGTTTTCATCCTCCTTTGCCTGGTTACCTTCTATGCATCCTTTGGTTTCTTCCTCAAGGGAGGTGTCTCACGCTGGGTCAGGTGTCTGGCATTCTCACTGCTGTTCCCTCTGCTTCAGGTGCCTCATGAGGGTAGGAACTCTGTCTTGTTCTAAGCTTAATCCCTTAGGGCCTGGCCCACTGTAGGGAATTGACGAGTATTTGTTGAAATAAATGAATGGACAAGGAGACTGGTGGCTTGGGGGAAAGGTTTAAACTGAGAAAATTCCAGTTTCCAGGCAAGCAGTTGAGTCTTTCCTGAAACATGAACACGGCCACCTGCACCGCCTCCCTGTGTGCGATGAGAAAGAATGGGGGCACTTTTATCTGGTGCCATGGAGTCCGCTGTGATCTTCAGGAACCCCTTGCCCACTGTGAGGTCACCCTGAAGTTTTTGGGCATAGCGGAAGGATGGGAGCCTCTCTGCTTATAAGGCTTTAGAAATAAAAAATTTAAAAAGGATTATTTCTGGAAAAGATCTTAGATGTCCTCTGAACCAACTGGATTACTTTTTAGATAAAGAAACTGACACCCAAAGAAAGGACATGAGTTTCACAAGATGGTACGCTTTCTCCATAGACCACACAGTTTTATTCACCACCTCATTCCTTCCCTTCCTAAACTTGGAACGGGGAAAAGATTCCAGGCACAGATAGAGACTCCCAATTCCAGAGTCCAATACAAGCTACATGCACTTGGCCAGGGGATAGGAACCCTGAGCTAACCATCAGCAGGATCTAGTAACTTCTCAGGAGAACTTGGAAACCCCATCCCGTCTCTTGGTGCCTATTTCTTCATCTGGCAAATAGTGATAACAGTGATGCTGTGAAGTCAGCATGACCCACAGATTTAAGAACATGTATTTAAAAACTACTTAAGTTCCACAAAGGGCTGACATTGCAAAGTAAATCTGCCTAAATGAGAATAGCAATAGAATGGACTGCCCTTGTACATGGTACATGAAAGCCTCGTGATCCAGAGGGCTTGGTTCTGACCACAGCTCGACCACTGTGTGGCTCTGAAAATCATTCGCTCGCTGCCTCAGTTTCCTCATGTATAACACAGGAGAAACAGAAGCACCAGCCACATAGGATTGTTGGGAGAATAGTTAATAATACATAAAGCTCTTAATACAGTCCTGGTACATAATAAATGTTAGCTGTTATATATTGTTGTTATTGAACTCCCAAATCCCAGAGGTGCCCAGGCATAGATTTGATAGCCATCAATCAGGAACGTAGCAAAAAGGAGCTTGCCCTGAGTGGGGAGTTGGATTCTAAGGGCCCTTTTAATGCTGAAATTCAAGAAGTCAAAAATCAAAAAATAACTGTATTCTGTTATTTCTTATTCCCCCACTAGGTATTTTTTCCTATCTCTACAAGGAACTTATGGGAAATCTCTCATCTCAAAAGCTCAGAAAATTGACAAACTCCCCATGGACAAAAGAGACCTGGAAATCCAGAGCTGGAGAAGCAAACAGATGGCTGCCCCTGTCCCTGGAGAGGCTCAGCCCACCCACCGCCCAGTGCCACCTGTCCCTGAACAGGACTTGAGAGCCGATACCTCAAAGAGCTCCAGCTCTCCCGAGAAGACGTGCAAGGAGGACAGGGTGCTGCGTGGAGAGAGAAGCAGCAGAGACCACACGGGGGATGACCCATGCTCAGTGGACTCCTCGGCTAAACTCTCATCTGGAGATCACCTTCGTCTAGGGCCTAACAGCGCAATGGCTTCCGGGGCGTCCTCCAGAGGACAGGCTGACATCTGCAGACACTCGATCAAGGGCAGCCACCTCCGATCCCAGAGTTCACTGACCATATGAGGGGCCTGCGGAAATCTGTATAGACTCAGAGGAGGCTGCCTGATCGTGGCCTAATTAACCCAAGACTCTTCCTCTTCATGGAGGAAGGAATTTGTCATGCTTATTCTTTACTCATCAGGCCTGACTTCCTTAGAGGAAGTGCTGGCCCCCAAGGAGTTTGACAAAAAAAAGACTGGAAACCAGTCGAACTCTAGTTTTCTCCTGCTGCCAGGCAGCACATCTTGCAAAGAGTTTTTATAAAAAGGCTACATTTTTATTGCATCAAGTTCTCAAATGTTTTAGCTCAGAATAATACAGAGTCTGTACAGCTTATGGCCCAGTGCGACTAGGCCCTAAGTTTCCAAGATTCTAAGAAATGTATCAACCCATGCAATTTCTCAGACTATGGAGGTTTCTGGGCTTGTCAAATCATCGCCTCACCCCGCAGTGCCAGAGTTTAATTTTCATATACACAGGTGTTTCATTTTTATTGTATTGCAGTGATGGCCATATTGGGGTTAATATCCCTCTCATTCACAAAGACTTGGGTCACTTTTTGTCTCTAAGCCAAAGAAAACCACATCTAAATATGAAAACTAAACTTTAACTCAGAGTCACAGATACTTCTGAGGGTTGTAGGGCCACAACTAGTGTTAAGAGGCAGAAAGAACATACGCATGCTAAGAGAAATGGGTATGCCAGAAACCCCATGCTTTAGCTGACAGACTATATGTCCCACAGTCTGGAGTATCTACCAAGAGGATACAGGCAGCACTTTTTTAAAGCTATTTATATTTATTTTTAAATAAACATACCCATGTTCCTTCAGCTCTCAGAACAGAAAACTCTAAGGTCAGGTCTTAGCACAGCTCCACCAGGAATGGACCTACATGACAGAGCAACTCAGAGCCCAAACAATGACATCTTAAAGAGTAAGACCAATGTTAAATCCTATTCATTAAGCTTATCCCAGAATAGCACCATCTGGAAGATACTGGCACATGCTTCCGTTAAATGAGGGCGAGTCAGAGGAAGTCTCATCTCACTTCACAGGGAGGAGAAGAATTACATAGACTTCTTACCCCTAGACGTGGTAAGTGCCAAAAATGTAAGAGCCCAAAACAGTGTTGAAATAAAAGAATGGATGACAGAATTTTAATAGGCTGTCAAGAGAAGCTAGGTCTACTATGGGCAAGAGTAGCCCATCTCTAGTCCTTTAAGGTAAGTTAGGGAGGGCTGCCAAACCCTTTCTCCTTAAGGTGCTACCTATATTTTAGGTGAAATCCCTACAGATTAGGTATGGATGTGACAAATCTTTGAGCCTAAGAGTCACAGCCACCTCACTTGAGTAGCTTCTTAGCAAAGATGCCCCAAAACATCTCAACAATCAGGTTAGCGAATGGAAGACTGAGCTGGTCCTCTGACTACCCTGCTGCCAAACCCGAACTGGAGGGGCCGTTTGCAGCAGCATCCTGGAGCCAGCACACTAGATCTCTCTCACTGACTCTGCCACATGCCACCAGCACTGGCCAGCTGGTGGGTAGTTGTGAGAATCCTACATGAGTATCACTAGAGGAGGAACAGATAAACACATCGGGCAAAGCAGTAATGACATGAATTGTCCCAAATAAGGTGAAGACAGGCCAAAAATTGGATCTCAAGGTTCTCCCTTTCCCCCACACAATCTGCCCACTCCTGAAAGCCAGATGAGACAGGATGTCTCAGAAAAGAACAGAGTAGTGGGAAGAACACTGGCCTCAGGAGATGCGGGACACAGATCTTAGTTCTGCCCCAGCTCACCAGGAGCCCGAAGCCCTGAAGCAGGAAGGCGCACCTACAAATGAGGTTAGAACTTGGCATAAGGATCAAGTCAAAATTACGCAGGATATGAAATCCTTTGAAAGCTATGCTACCCTCATTAATAACAGATTTT